GCGAGTGTGAGAGGGTCTGCTGGCTCTGCCGGATGGCGGCCGTCAGCGGGAGGTCGGCCTGCATCACCCACTCCTGGTTGCCGTTCAGCACCGTCTCGCCCGGCATGGCCAAGGAATGGCGCTTGGGGACATCCTTGGTCAGCGTGGCGAGGGACTGCTTGGCCTGGGGAAGGACACCAAGGTGGTGGTAGGGGGAAAACCCGTACGAACGTCTCCCGGAGCAGCAGAACCGTCAGCAACACGTTGCACCAAACCCGCCCTCCCCTTTGCAAGTAAAGACCCAAATTGTGTCGCTCCCTGCGCTGAGGATATCCAGGAATGCGGGTTTTTTTCTGCCAGTATTGCAATAACGCAACCGTGGCAGCAAACACTTAAATGCAATATTGCAATAAATACTGAACTTCAGCAAAACTCGCCGGGGTGTTTCAAAACTCAAGCTGCTGAGCCGAGCACGTGCAGCAGCGGCGCAGGGCTGACCCTCGAGTCGTGCCCGCTGCGTTATCGAGCTCACCATGGCCAGCTCGGCCTCCAGCTCCTTCATGCGGTTGTCTTTCAGGTCGAGCTGGGAGCGGAGGGCGCTGGCGTGGTCCGTCGCCTCCTTGGCTTGCCGCCGCAGCTCCCACTTCTCCCGCTCCAGGAGGTCCTTCTCCTTTGCCAGGGCTTTCACCGCATCCTCGCTCTCCTGCTGGGACACAGAGCGGCCATCAGGAAGGGGAAACCCACATGCTACTACAAACTCCTCTCCCACAACCCCTGTGGGACCGCCTGACTGCTGCGGAGTCAAAGGGCAAGCAGCACCTCAGGGTGTCACGAGAGCCCTGTGCCAGCAGGGACAGCAGCAGGGAGCTGCGGAATGCGGCCAGTCACCCAAAAAGGGATGCCTGCCACATACCTGGGCAAAATTACACCGAATTTCTCAGGTCTGGCTCGCCAGCCCCATTTCCTCTGGTATTTATTTATCCTTAACCTGCTGCAGTCCAGCCCCTGCACCAGGGGAGCATCTGCCCAGCTGCAAGAGGCCACCAAGGGGCTTTGGTGGGTTTTTGCCTGATGGGGACCTGGGTTTTGCGCTCGTGCCACTGCTGGCCCCCCCTGTGCCAAGAGACCCCGGCGCTGGGCTCCCGCACTCACTTTCCGGTGCTGCTCGTAGTTCCTGATGAAGTCGCGGAGCTGCTCCTCGCGGCTCTCCAGCGTGGCGTACAGCTGCTGCATCTGGCTCACCAGGTCCGTCTTCTCCCCCTTCAAGCGCTTGCGGTCAGCTTTCATGGCTGCGGGAGAGACCACAGCTCGAGTGCGGGGGCCCATGGCAGCCCCCTTGCCTCTATCTCTCTTATTTTTCGAGGAAAAAGCACCAACGTTACGACCCCAGGGGCTGGTCTGGGAGCAGACACCCAAATCACCCGTGTTGCTGCACCCCCTGCATGCACCCAGCAGCCCCCCGAAACACGCAGCACATCTCCGCTGCGGCTTCTCATCATCGCCCACCCTCCACGGGGCAGCTCGGTCCCTGGAAAAGGAGATTCGGGAGCAAAACCGCTGCCGCGGCCTCAGGGCCCGGCACAGGAAAACCTGCTGCTCCCTTTCCAGGATAAATAAACCACAACTGGTTTATTTTTAGCAGCGAGGCGGATTCCTGCGGCGCTCCCACGAGCCTAGGGCATGGCTCCCCGAGCGTCCTCTTCCAGCTCAACGATGCCACACGGGGACAAGAGGATGGAGCGGGAAGCTGGGGGAGTGGAGGCACCACGGGATGAGATGAAACTGAGCCCTTCATGTTTTCCCTCTCCCACATGCCAGCGAGGGATGCTCGCTGACCACCGACACAGGGACAGCTTGCTGAAGTCTGGTAAAACCAGGAAGAATTACAGAAATACCACACAGGACAAGGGGCTTCAGTAATTTCTGCACGTTAAGCGCTTTGCCCAGCCTTGAACCTGGTCTTTGGCGGCACCGCAGAAAAGCCCCGCGGCTCCCTCCTCCAGATACACCCCACCCCACCAAAATAATGACCAATTCAGGAATCAGAATACAAACATGGCCTTTCATTCTAGGGAAGACTCCGCATGTTTTTCCACCCTGAGGAAGTGCTGCTCTCGAGGGAGTGGGACGGTATGAAACACCCTCTGCGCCTCCAACGCTCCCTGCGTTGCAAGCAGAGGAGCCTCGCGAGTTGTCCCTCTACGTTAAACCTCCTCCCTCCCCATATCCACCAGAAAAACCAACCCTAAAGCCACCAAGAGCTGTCTGCATTGCAAAAGTCGCTAGAGGATGATAGCACCACCACGAGCAGGACCCCCCAGCTGCTTTCTGTTACACACTCATAACAGCATCTCCGCCGGCGTGCAGGCAGGGACAGCGCTGCGATCAGAGTTGCACCGCAGCCCCAGGCAGAATAAACTCTTCACGGGGGATCACCCAGCACCGTAGCTAATGTACCACCCTACCGCGCTGCAAGAGCCCCTAAATACGAGCAGCAGCCCTGTCCCGCCAGCTCTAACTCATTTCAACCACCTCCTGTGTCCCACCCGAGCTCCGTACAACGGCCGGCTCAAGGAGGGATTTCCTCGGGTAGGAGCTTCTTTCTGTGCACAGGTATTACCGCCAGTGCGTGCCGGGAAGATGCATAATACAACAAGTGCTTGGGATGGAGCCAGCCAGGAAGGAAGAGAACTTGCAGGTGAGTGGAGAAAAAGGTGTTGTAAAAAAAAAAAAAAAAGTAAATCACACCGAACAGTGGAAGAGGAGGGAGATGTTTGGGACAACAGAGGTTTTTCTCTGTTGAAAACCAGGCAGTGAAACTCTTTGGACCAACTACTCTGCCATTAAACATCAGAGGTAAATCACAACCCAGAAAAACAACCAAGCAGCTAAGAAATGCCCCAGCAACGCCGTTGTCCCATGATAAGGTGTGCTTGTGATTTTTCCTTGCCCGCTTCAATGAATGTGACTCCTGCTGGGACAACTCAGCCCCTTCCAACACTGGGACCTTCCTTAGGTTTTTTTTTTCCAGCTTGGGGAATCACTACAGAAACCGTCTAAACATAATCACTACTGGACCACACTAAGTTTTTAAAAAAACACTTCCCCGCCCTCTGGGTGCATTTAATAACAACCTTTCCCCTGCCCAGTTATTCCACACGAACTCAAAACTTGCTGAAAAAGAAAAATGAAAGCTAAGTTGACCGAGCCGTACTGGGGCGAGATCCAGACTCCATGGAAGCCGGTACCCTGAGTCATCACCACGTGGGCTGCGACTCGACAACATGTTAACTGATTTGGGCTCTAGAGGGGGGATTTCTGCTCCTCGTCACCCTTCCCAGGCAGGGACGGTCTCAGCTCCATCCCTGTAGGATAACGTGCTGCTGAAAACCCCTCTATTTTCAAGCCCTTGAACACTTTGCAACACATACATATATATATATATATATTTATTTCCTCGAGGACATTGAGAGGCTCATATACAAATTTAAGTCACATTTGCATTCTCTGATGCTGGAGGCGACAAAAGGCTCCTAATGAATTTAATTAAATAGCAGGGCCCCTATAGCATACAACCTGCTTTAATTAGTCACAGCGTCCAGGGTAGATTTACCGAAACCGCTTCATCACTTGCCAACCACAAAACCAACTCAGAAGTACCGTTAGGAGAACAGTACGTACCATCTCCCAAGGTTGAACGTTTACCAATATTCACGGTGATCAGTACTGCATGATGAAGACTGACTTGAGTACTGCAAGAGCAGGTTTTTCCCTATTCGACCAACCGGACAATTTACCATTTGTTTCAGTTCGTATTTGAAAGATTTGCTAAAATTAATGCACTTTTTCCCCCCTCTATTACCACTGCTCTCCTTCCTCCAAAACCGATTAGCTCCTAAGCTTACAGAATATCTATCAGTCATTTGAAAACTTCATTCCCAACCCAATTATTAGGAAATTAATTGAAAGAGGCAAGAGAAAAATAAAAAGTTAGGCAGAAGCGAGCAGTTCGGGCTGCCAGCAGCTCCTGGACTGAGCACCGCTTGGTGCAGCAGCTTATTACGTTCTTAGCAAACACGCCCGGCTAATTACTCGGTCAGGGAAAACGAGCCATTGCAATCCGTGGCGCGACGGCAGGGGCAGCCAAGGAGGAATAAAGAGGGTTTTCACTTGCCATTGGGGTCACCCAAGGAGGTCAAACGGCTTTTTTCCTCAATCTGATGATCCAGGGCCAGGTTTCTGTACCCCGAGCCCCCGGGGAGTATCTAAATAAACTCCCCCACAGCCCATCTACACGGTGGGCTCTAGCAAAACCTCCGACCTGTTCCCAAACCCAGGACAACACGAGAAGCAAGAAATCCTAAACCCATACTGTGAACCAAAAGTATTTACCTCACGCAGCTTTTCTGCATTATTTACTTTCCCCTCCCACCCAAACCACACGACAGAAGTAGAGGGGGGGACCCACCAGCACCCCCTCGGTGCGATAGGGGAGAGGTTGGGAATGGCGGCGTGAATCCCCCAGCTCTCACCACCACCCCCAAAACCCCGCCTGCACCATTCATCCTGCGCGAGGTCAACCTGCGCTCCTGTCACTTGAGCTTCCACCTCCTGCCATGCGATCCGTCCCCCCGAGCATCGCTCCTTCAGGAGAAGGATGATGGACACAGAGCAGTAACGGGATCTGCTCCGTGCTGGTGTCCTCTCGCAGCCAAAACAATTAAAAATCCCCCCCCCCAGTGCCTTCTGTTTCCAGCTTTACCTAACGAGCCGAAATCTAATTGCTCCGATGCGCCAACGTGAGCGGCACAGCCTTGCCCGGGGCAGCAGCACGGACGAAACCGCCCAGCGATGCCACCACCGAAGGTGTCACCACCCCACAGCCCCTGTCTGGCCTCAACATCTAACAGCTTCTGGATGGAGATTAGCTACTGTGCGCTAAAAACCAAGCATCTCCCCCCCCCTAAGATGGGGGCTGCTATAAATACCACCTGCCTCTTTGAAGTTATTATTATAAAATGAAGGGAAAACGAGGCGGTGGTGCCTGCACCAACCATCCCAGGTCTGCGTAGAGGACATACAGATATTAATTAGTCTGACCACCTTGGCCACATAATATTAGATGAAAACCAATGATGTTCGGAGCATAGGAACAGCGCCTCCGCCTGACATCCTCCTCCTGGGACGAAGTGGCAGAGCCCAAACACCATCCAGGGCTCTGGCAGCGGACGCAGCCTACCCAGCCCACCTCTGGCCATCCCCAAGAGCAGCTCCCATCCGCTTGTGAGTACTTCTCTCGCCCTGTGCAATGTGGATTTTCATGCCAGAAACAGATTTGGAGCCAACTTTACCACTTACTGATTCACGTACTTATTTTCTAACGTGGGGAAAGGCATCCTCGAGGGGCACCGCTCAAGCCTTGGTCACGCCCCAGGCAAGAGGAACGTGTAAACCCATCCTGTCCCATTAACATTCACTTCATTTCTCCTGTTTCTCCATCCCAACCATGAAATTCAATATTGTCACCATGACTAACCCATAAAATCGGTCAGCCCTGCGCAGGAATTGCAGCGCCGCTCCTTGCTTTGTAATTAAATAGGCGCGTGCACGCTCCCCGGGCGCAGCCTCGTCATCTGCAGAGAAGATCTTGCCATGGAAGATGTCAACGTTACGCGGCGCCGGGCAGAGCCGGCACTCGCTCCTGGGCGGGTGGAGGTGCGGTGCAAGCAGGAAATTCGAGTGCTGCGTCGAATTTCAGGAAAAAACTAGGTGAGGCATTTGCCTTAGGGGAAATTCACCTGGAAACACCCTGCTATGAGGCCAAGAGCTTTCCAAACCAGACCCACAACGGTCAACAAGTGGACAATGACTTCTGCTGTGAATTTAAGGCGGGTCTTCAAGGCAAAAGACTAGGTTTTCTGTACAGAGCCCCAGATCCTTTTGGTAGAGAGTGCTTCCTCATCTGGGTCCATGGCTGGAACACCCATCTGCTGGGGACATCCACCTTCAGGGACAATCCATCTGCCAGGACACTCGTTCACCCATTTCTTTGCTACCCACCCTCTTGTTGCAGCCAGCCAGAGGCACTGGGGGTTTCTGCAGGAGGCTTGTCCCAGCCCAAGTGCCATCCTCGGGGGGGGTGTCACAGCTCCGAGATGCAGGTTTGGGAAGAAGACGACCGGGCTACAAGACATTTGTGCAGCAGACATGAAGTCGATTCATGCCTTTCCGAGCAGCCAGGAAAGCCAGCCTGAGGTCTCCACTTTGGCACTCGAAAAGGAAACAAAACCAGGTTTGCTCTCCGCGTGATAATCCCGCAGGCGAGCTCCAGCATATTGGATAAACCTTCCCAGAAACAGGGTTTCCGCCATTAGCCCACACACTCATAGATGTCACCCAGCCAAGAGGCTCCTCAAGTCCTCCAGGCACTCGGGCACAGTCCCTTCTCGCAGCAGGACCCAGCAGTAATAAAGCTGTCTGCAGCTTCTCCCGTTGGAGATTTCCACGTCAGAACTCCAGACCACATCCACCCCTTTCCAGCCAGGGAAAAAAAATTAACAGTGCTAACACCGTAAGCAGGATACCGAGTCCCAGCCCCAGCAAAGGGGAAGAGGACACTAGGATACAGTGCTAAGGGATTTTATTTGGAGGTTAATTGATTTTTTAAAAAAAAAGAAGTGCCAGAAGTGGAACTACCCCAGAAAAAGGAGCCATAAAGACGCATAAAGCCCAGCAAACCCCGCCAGCAAACCATCTCCGCTTCCCTCTGCATTAAGGCCCGGTGAGCCAATATCTATCTGAACCGGCTGCGTTGTGCTTCCAGGCTCAAAGCCAGCAACGACGACGGATTTCCACAGAACTCCTCTGCTCGTGACATGACACACGACCCAACGCGGGATGCTGCAGCCGATGCGGCCGGGCGCGGGGCGTCCTTCAGCGAGGACAGCGGGGTGGTGCAGCCACGCACGCTGAGGGGAGGGAGGTGCTCTTGGGAGATGCTCTCTGGCTGTGGGACACGACCGACACAACCCCCTGAGCTACAGGACAGCACAGCCAGGTTTCCCCGAGCTCCTTCCACTGCCTTATCCTGCAGCTCCTTAATACAGAGCCGTTGCCTCCCCTACACCTTTATCAGCAGATACATTGCTCCTGGTAGAACCATTCACCAGGCACAGTTACTGCCTTTTTTTCCCTCCCCTTTTGGCTACATTTCTCTACGGACAATTTTTCACAAAAAAAGAAAAAGGAGATTTTTTTTCTCCCCCCTCCAGCTGCTCATCCTGTTTCCACATTACCCATCTCCGTGGCTCTGCTAAGCCTCCTCTGCTGCCCAGCGCCTCCAGCCCAGCTCGCGGGGCTGGATCCAGCACAACAAGCTTTTCCAAACTACGCAAAAGCTTTCCAATATTGCAGGGGAGGAAAGGAGTATCGATTTAAAAAGGCTTCTTGTTATGCGCCTTTCCAAGTGCAAGCTGAGATTCCCTCTTCCGAGCCATCACACCTGCAGAGAAGCCCTGGAAAACCAATCCCAGCAGCTCATACAGTGGGCAATAAAAGCCCAATAAAAACCCAACATTATATTACTTAAATACTCAGCATTCTCAAGCCAAACTCACTTTTTCTCTGTACTACCCTCCACAGAAGCGCTTATGACCTCACTGCAGCTTCTTAGATGACTTTTTTTTTTGGTGAATAGTCTTAAAATAGCTCTGCTTTTCTGTATTTTGCAGTTATCAGCACTTCTCCTTCCCTGTCCACACACAGCAAATATTCTTTAATTACAGTTTTTCTTCTCCAAGTACGGCTTTATAAACCCAGAGCATTTCCTGCTGCCGGAGGCTGCACCAGTGGCGTGGCAGGGGCAAGACTTTAAGGATATTTTGGCTGTTACTAATTTAGAGGGATCCTTTTGCAAGTCAGAGAGCCATCAAACAAAACTTTCTGAAATCCCCTCCCCAAATATAGACTCAGCCCAATCCCCTGCCCTCCTCCCCCTGCATCTCAGCATCCCGGGCTGGGAGCGGTGGGAAGATGCAGCAGGCTGGGGCTCTCCCGCCCCGCAGCTCCTCACGTGCCTCTCAGCTTCTGAGCCTGAAAACTTTTGACAGCCTCTCTTCATAATCCGCAAACGCAAGCTGACAAGTGGAAGTTATACTCGGTATGTCGGGGATTTGAGATGATATTTAGAGCCGCGGCGCTGCCAGGGTTTGACGCACAAGAGCTTTCCCCTGCTCAGGAACATCCCCTGGCTCCGGCTAACAAACCGTCCTGCCCGGACTTCTTGTCAGTTCGTTTTTCGGGAGGAAAAGCTGCAACGTTGCGTTTTGCTCTGCACAGCCCCGACCACCACGGGAAAACACCCACGTCAATGCCTGATGAAAGGAGACGACCCTGCGCGTCACCTGGAGACCCAGCCTCTGCTTTCTGCCGTGCTCCCGGTAACTCCACACGGAGTAAGGACAATCACACTCACCGGGGAACTCGCTGCTTCCCTCCTAAGAATCCGAGGGGCCCAAATCCAACCCACCCCCCCTTGCAAGCGTCTCCAGCTGCGTTTCAGCTGCTCTGTTGGCTCTACTCTATAGCTAGCCATAGAGGAGTTACCTTGCAATGCTACAACCCTGCCACACACACCTCGTTTCCCAGCCCGTCGCTGCACCCTGGTCCTTCCCGACCTCGCACCGCTGGGGCAGGACAGCGGGGGCATCCCCAGGAACGCTGCCCTGACATCAAACCCCCCGCCACGTGGACGCAGCGAACACACGCTACGTAGTCCAAACGAAAAGGACGGCTCCTCCTTTCCTCATTCATCAACTTCTTGAAACTTTAGGGTCCCGGGGAGGGGTGTGTGAGCAGAGGGACGCGCAGCCCTTACCCTGCAGAGCCTCCTTGGCGCGCGCCAGCTCCTGCTCCTTCTGCGCCAGCTGCACCTTCAGCTCGGTGGCCGAGAGCCCCTCCGGCGACTTGCTGCCGTGCGTCTCCTCCAGGTCTTTCGTCAGCATTTCCTTCATTTGCCGGAGCAGGTGAACCTCCTCCTGCAGCTGGGCCACCTCCTCCCGCAGCAGCGCTGGAGGAAAGAGGAGACACAATGTGAGGAAACGACCGACAGCTCCCGGCAGAGCCCCACGCCCCCGCTGAAAACTCGATTCCTGGGCAAAGGCTGTTGGGGTGACACCCCCCCTCAGCTTGCAAAACCGCTTTGCACAGCCCAAAACCTGCGGCGGTGCTCGCAGCACCCCGGGAATGGAGGAGAAGGAAGGGACGTGATGGGGAGGGCTCTCCACTGGGTATTAGTTTCTCAGATTTAAATTAAAAAATACTAATATATAATGATGATAATAAACCAAGAGGCACCTCCCCATCCAAACCACTCACTGACAGGGTGCTCGTACGGCAGTGTCCAACAGAGACTGCCGAGCTCCGCTATGCCCCGTACGATACGCTTCAGCTCTGCCTCCGGCCATCCACACAACCAGGCTGTGCTCCTCGCAATTCAACAAAACCACTCTGAGACCAGAAAGCGGAAGATGACGCTTTCACCTGCAGACCCGAATCCTGATTTTTTTTTTCAGATTTACATCCAGTGACCACTACACCCCTCAAAGCAGCCTGGTGCATCCCAAGCCCAGGTCCCCTCTGCAGCAGGCACCGGGAGAAGCTCCAGCGACCTCATTTCCTACGGCTGCGCACTCTGCTTAGTGTAATAAAGTGCTTTTCTGCTGTTTCCACACTGCACAATTCGCCCTCTTCTCCCCTCACTGTCCTTTTCCTGCAAAACACTTTTGGGCTGTGCATGCGCTGCTGCAACCCTTTATACGAGCCAGGCATCGTGATCCACCGTGACTCACGCGAGCGTGTGAACAGTTGGATTTTCCTTTTGAGAACACGCAGAGAACACCCCTTCCTTATCCGAAGGGGCGTACTGATTTCTCGGGTTTGCACCATGCCCTTGGACACGGGGAGGAAAAAAGCTAATCCCTCAGGATGTGCATTACAGTTACCGGAAAAAATAACATGTAAATAAAAAATAAACATCCCCTCTCCAAGCTACAGCGGTTGGGTCCTTTCCCCAGTGCCACCATGTATCCACCAGCCTGGGGAACAGCTGCTGGGCATGAAATATGGGGGTTTTTTCCCCCCTTATTTTTGCTAAGGTCCCCCCGCACGTGCGCCAGGCTGTTTCCTTTCAGCCCCGTCGGGGAGGTGACGCCGGCAGCAGGACAGGGAGCGTCGGCCCCCCCCAGCCCGGCCAGCAGCTGCGCCAGGAAGGCATAAAAATCTGGTTTGCATACTTGAAATGCTTCCCGTACGAAAACTGGCAAGGCCCCATTCTGTAAATTATTTAGCAATAAAGTCACTAACGAGGAACAGTCCGGCTCCGGGCTGGGGATTTCGGCGCAGTCCAAAGTGCTTTCTTGAAATCTGTGCAAAAAGCAAGAACCAAGAGGCGGCCAAGACCAAAGGCACCTTCCGCAGGAGCTGCGGGAACGTCTCCCTTCCAGCTTTTGGGAACCCAGGGGCAGGGGTGATGCGAGGGACTTGTACATGGTGTAATATTTACTGTGCAAGACCCACCCAGCACCTTCCCCGTCCCCAGAAAGCCCCACAAGACCCCACAAAACAACAGCGGCTGCCGCTATTTGCTCTTCCCCCCACAACTGATAACTCATTTTCACCTTTCCTCACAAGCTGCTTCACCCAGGAGGTAACAGCGGGTGAATTCCCTGGCAAACCATTAACTGGAAGAGGAGGATCCCACCAGGGCAGCTTGCGCAAGGGTGAACGATCCTGCTGGATTTCTGCAAATTGCAGCATTTTGATGGGAATCCAAGAAAATCTGCACACCACCCCACCCCCCCGCCACAGCTTCAGGGAAGGGAGGGGGGAAACAAGCCCAAGGAAGGGCAGCCCAGAGGGGAATTCTGCAGCAGATAATCCCGGAGGACTCCTCTGGCATGGCCCAAAGCAGATTTGCAGCTGCTTTTTACAAAGCTCCTTTCCATAAAGCACTGCACAACACGGCTTCCCCCAGACCGCACCGTTCCTCTCTGGTCCCGGTTAGAAAACGGCAAAAAAACTCAAAAACATTCCTCCTCCAAAGCATGCAACAAGGCAATTTAATCCCCAATTTAGCGCCCGGCTCCTGATACAGGCAGAAACTACTGAAAGATTAAAATCCAAGCTCCGTAAGAAGCTATAGGTGCAATCTGGAAAGGAGCATGCAGCACCACGCTCCTCACCCCACCGGCTGCTGGATGCACGGCTTCGTCCACAAGCCAAAGCCTACAGAGAAACCTGATTTATTGAAGTTGGGATCAGTCAGATACCCGAAGTTCTTGCATTTTTTTATATATATATATAATTTAAGATACATATATACACACATACACAATGGATTGTGCTTTGCCAAGATTTTTTTTGCAATATACATCTATTTTGCACTACTGCAAAGCACAATCCCTTTTTTTTATATATATATACACACATATAAAAATTGCAAAGCACAATCCACAAGGTTTGAGTAAACCTTACACCGCTCGCTAGGCTCAAACAGCCCAAGACACACCATCAGCTCTTTTCATACTTCGCGAAGTGTTGCAGTCCTTCCCAACTCCCAACTGGGGCTTCCGCTGATGTCTTTGCTGTAAGAACCAGGAACGGGCTCTTGGAGGCAAGTCAATCCCTCCGCACTCCTCCCAGCAAGTTTTTAAAGGGTTTTCTGGGAAAGAAGCTGGCGTTTCGGGGAAGCAACAGGAGTGACAGCATCTCCTGCTCTCCTCAGTTTCCTTTGGAAACCACTTCTTGGGCCATTTCTCGCATTGTATCAAGCTTCTTCATAGGCCCTGCTGCCGGGTGCCGGGGCTGGACCAAAGCAGGGATCCCAGACACCACCTTACACCTGTAATTATCCTCATTTGCATCCAGGATTTCCACCCTGCTCTGACATTTCCCTGGGCTCCCTGACCTTCCCAGCCCATTGGTGCTCATCACAGCAAAAGTTATCCCCCCAAAAGCCAATCGCCCCCTCCCAGCACCGAGCGCCTGCTCGCCATCGCTCCCCTGCAAGTTTCCATCCCGTCCTAACCGGCACCTCCAGCTCATGAGGGTCCTATGGAGAAAGCCTGTTTTATTTGCACCAGTTGCATTAAGAGAACGACTCAGCTTGAAAAGGAAATTTTAACTTCGTCTTAAAACAGGAGGGGAAAAAAAATTCCCTGCTGCTATGCCAGGTTTAAGTACCTAAATAAACGATCCAAAAAGTGCTATTTGCAGGCAGCTCTCGGTGATTGTTACAGAAAAGTTCCAATAACAGGGAAAATAGGCCAAATTATTCAGGAACCTCATTTCAGCCTCTATTTCTTCCACATTCAGACAGCTCGGCGGGAACTTCCCTATGCTTTCCTGCGACCTGGCTGGGTCTGTGCCTTTATTTGAAGCCGTGAAGGAGCTGCACTTGGCTTGAAGTGAGCATCAGCCCTCTTGAACTGGGACCTGGGCTCAGCGCCCCACGTGCATCCAAATCACGATGCAAAAATATGATTCCTAGAATAGAATAATTTTTTTTTTTTTTTTTTTTGGCAGCTCAACCTTGCAAGCATCGCCATACTGGTGTGCTAAGTTAAATTTGCTATTAGGAATTGCCTCCCAAATCCAATAACCCCAATGCAAAAACCTTCCACAGCGCATTTTCCCCAGAATTTCTGCCCCCCCCCTTTTTTTTTTTTCCCCCTCCTTTTTTTTAACCTTTTTAGGGGTGAGGGGGTGTCTGTGCATTGTAGTTCCCGAACCTCCCCAGGGGAAGGAGGTATCATCCGCACGGTCAAGCCCAGTCGCATGCCAGTTCATTCCAGCCCCTTCCAAATCTGCCACAAGTGGGAAGCGATTAAATTAATGCAACTTCAACATTTCCTGGACTAATCAACAAAAACTACCACTCACGCTGAAATAAGTGGCTGTTAATTTTATTTCAGCTGATAGCATTAAACTTCCACAACACTGCCGGGTTCTGCATCTTTCATGCTTTAAGCACTAGTTAGTGTCAACAGACAATGTAATTAAGATCTTTTTGGTTTTTCTGAACTGCAGTGAACACCTCCAGACAGCATTTGGGGCTGAAGTTTCCACTCCAGCTCCTGCAAATCCCACCTTGGACTGCTCTCAGCCAATCCACCAGCCATGCAGCAGCAAAGCCTTTTACTGGCCTTGGAGGAGGTATCACTTTAAAAACATCCATTTAAAAGCCTTTTTTTCCCATGTAACTCAGCTGACTCGATTGCCATACACGCATTTCTGTCTTTGGAGGTACATATTAAAAATTAATGCAGTATAAATGACAAAGTTTATGTTGGTGAAATTACTATCTTTGGTGAAAGCTGCATTTGTGCCGCTTTTGCAAGTTTACCAGCAAGATGGCTTTTGCTTCGCTGGGCACAAGTCAAGGGGTTGTTTTTTTTTTTATCCAGGACATCAGCTTTTTTTTTAGGAAAATGGCAAGAAGACAGAGAGAAAAGCCTTGCTTGTGGACCAAGAGCTTAAGTATAGTGGTAGAATCACCCCAAAGGGTGATTTCACAGGCCCTGCATAGGGATGCAAATAGAGGAAAAAAAGGGGCAAAAATGGTAAAATGCAACATCTCTGTGCTAACAGCATCAGCCAACAGACCCTCACCCGCCAAGAGCACAGCACAACCCTTCATCCCTGCTCCCTCCTGCAGAGCTTTGACTCAGAATAGATAGATAAATACACATATACACACACAAATATATACATGTACGTACACCTTCGTCCTGAGATGGGAAAGAGAAAGGTCATAGGATAAAGAATATTATTAGAAGAAAACAATGATTCAAGCCCCAGAGAGCGCTGAGCTAGTACTTACAGAGCATCTCATTGCCTTTGACCATTAAGTAGCTCCCCAGCTTGGGACCCACATCTTGCAGAAAGGTTCAACCAGCTGCTCCTCCCAAATAGCCTGCATGATCTAACAGCTTTCCCCTCTCAGCACATCTTTGCAAGGAGTAATTTGGAGCAAAAAGCATAAATCGCCGGGCACAGGGCT